AAGTCATGGCAGGACAGATGAGTCCCGTTAGTGGTCAAGTGAACGTCGATCAACGACTGTCAATGGCCCCAGACCTATACCTGCTAGACAGCGAGCTCGTGGCTCAATGGATAGGGTGTTTGACTCTGACCAAAAAGGTCGCGAGTTCAAGCCTTGAGTAGGGCACCACTTGGTGTTGGATATGACAGACTGATGACCGCTAATGAGCCAGAAGGGGGCATTCCGCCCTCCCTTGTCTTTGCTGGCAATACTCTTTTTTCTTATTCTTATTCTTGAGAGGCGAAACTTAATATTTAAGCGATATTTATCTCCTAATAATGCATCTATGCTGTACCTGCTCTGTAGTATTTAATGGAATTAGATATCTGCGTCATTCGATTCGGCTGTCTAACAAATATTGAGTCCCTCCGTTTGTCCTCTCAGTCCCATATCCTCTCGATTATTGCTTTGAACGCCTTAAAGCGTCCCTCTAACCCGACGATTACTGTTGCTTTACCACAGTGAATCGGCACGCAATGCCCGCACCCCCTTCCTCAAGGTTCTAACCCCTCTCGCCAGCCAGCCAACCACAGACATCTGCCTATCACTAACCCATCATGATCAAGTGTTTGAACTAGCCCTCACTCAAACCAATGCGGACGCCCGCCTTCTGTCCGTCTGTCAACGCTATTATTCCTCCTTCGATATCTAACACAAATCTCTTATTTTCTCCAAGCTTCTTGTATCGCCTTAGGCGTGGTAGTTTAGCTATACACGAAACTTTACTTTCTGATTCGAAAACCCGCAATGATTATGATCATTTTGACGACTAGTGCATTCCGCTTAAAATCTGTTAAACCGACCGGATGTGATAGCCGCTTCGGACATCCAACCACGTTCCTATCCTCGCTGTGTGTTGTGCGGGTCAGACCACCACCAAGACCGAATGCCTAGAGCTCCTGACTCCCGGCCAGCCTTTCGTGCGTAAAAAGGCGCAGGTAGTCTGGTGGAATCTACCGATTTTGGTTGTATCCTCGGTGTAGCAACAGCTCCACTCCCTGCCCCTGGAAAAGGCATGTAATGGAACTGTGCTAGTGAAGGTGAGCTGTGTTAGGAGTTTCAAATTAACGTAGCAACCAAAAAAATCGTACAGTCGGCCAAAAGACAGCTTAAGCAAACCTACTATTTAGTGTATTACCAACCAACTTGAAATGTCTGGAGGATTTGCAACAGTTTGACAGTGCTGCCTGGCGTTTTCCCCAGTTCTCTTCCTCATCGCACGCTCACATGAAGCTGCGTTTGTTAGTCGCAACGAGGCCCCTCTTCGGTCCACATACTCTCGTACCCCATCAAATATTCCCCTAGACATTTTGCATGCGTACTCGGGGACGCTCGACTGTGAATTCTAAACAACAAAAAATGTTCGTTGATTAACGTTCAGTGA